CGAGAAAGACCCAGCTGCAACATCACATGAAGGGCTTAGTAGGCATCAAGGCAATAATGCTAATGCAGAATTTGGAATAAATATAATTGAGAACAAGATTGTTACCGTAATAACAAAGCAACAAATAAGAAGATTGCTGTCCTTTAGCCTGAGGGCGGCTCCTGTATTTCCAGTGGTTTTGTGGGATGGAGATCGTCTGCTTCTGTCATTACTGTAGCACCTTTGCAAGAGAAGCACAACAGATGAACTCTCAACTATGCTACTTTTGCAGACACAGGAAGCCTCTTTGGGTCAGGTGTACCTTGCTATAGTGTGTGTGTTTTGTTGGGCTTATTATGCTGTTACTCTCCTGGGTGCAACTGGGTTCCCTGCCCCTTTTCACTGTATTCATGCCCTCACAATCCAATCTTGCTCAGTAGGGAAACCATGTGAACTATTTAGATGAGGAATAACAACCAGCCAGTGAGGTGGATTAGGCTGAGTGCAGACCAAGTTCAACCAGCGCATTTCCTTTGGGGATTTTGAATTTAAACTTCCCAGATAGTAGGCTGATACTGCCCACTGAGGAAGACTAGTTTTGTAGCAAACACATAGCCCTCAGTCTGTGTCATGGTGCCTTCTCATTTTCTTGAACAGCACACGAAGCAATTTATGTACAAAAGCTCACAATGCCCAGCCTTTTCATGTTTTCCACTGGGACCTAGGCTCAGAACTCTGAGCATGAGATTTCTATAGTGAATGTCAATAAATCAAAAGTAGGTTTGCAGCTTACAGATACATACTTGAACAGCATACTCAAGACTGCAACAGCACAGACATTTTGATGCAATAATTCAGGACAAGAGGTGTCAATTATCAGTCACTGTTAAATAAACAAATTTTGCAAGAGTGCTAATGTTTTAAGGATGTTTTTATTTTAAGTAAAAACATCTTTAATTCTGTTTGTGTCCTTTATAAAGTGTATATCTCCGCTACCTGGCAACATTTTATGACACACATGGCCTGGCCTAACAAGGTATCATTTATGTAAGATCCAGCCCTCATAACAAATGAGTTCGACACCCCTGGTCTATGCAAAACAGACATCTGTGCTCAGATATTTGCACAAAGCAAACCACTGCTTGCAGTTTGAGGCAAGCTAATTCTGTTTGGTAGTGAGACAGTGGAGTACAACCAATCTGGTTTTCACAGACAGCATTTACACTGTTTCATAAAAATAGGTTCATAACACATAAATTAGGGATAATTTAGGCCTTTAGCATCTCATATGAGTAGTCTACTGATATGAGCAGAGCTGTCAGAAGACCGTACTTGTGGAAGCAGCAGAGCTGATTCCATAATCGGGCCATGTGTCAAATCAAGACAATCCATTCTCCCAAAAGAAGCAGCAGAGCCCTTCTGAGTGCTTTGCCAAAATTACCTTGCTCATGGAAGGAGGCAACTTTGGTAAGAGGATAATGTGCAAGACAGGGGCAAGTGAACTGGTCTTACGTGCATGCTGCATGCCTCTGAGCAAAAACTGCAGCCTTCTATTAAGAGACATCACCCAAGAATGCTCTGATACAATTATCTATGAAAGTCTGAACTGGATATAAGTTCTACCCGCTCTTGCCCTAGGCATGAAAAACAGAGGAGGCTGAAGAGGGGGAAAATGATATTTCTTTACTCTCACACTGCCTGCTCCATATATTTCTCTTTTACATATGTGGATACAGAACAAGTGTCTAGTCCTCTACGGGATAACCAAAACAGGACAAATAGGAAAAAGCACTAATAGGGCAGACAAACAATCCTGGCTTGCCCGATCAATATTTAAGACATTAAAAATAGAACGTCTGTGGGAGTAGCAGAGTCCAAGCAAGTGTGTTAGAATATGCTGCAGCTTCCTGAACCACAAACCTCAGAGTCAGGTTTTCAGAACTAATAATCAGAATTCATTTCGTGCCCCAAGGCCTGTCAGCATAATCTAGTGGACTCAGCCTGGAAAATGAACCTGGGAAACTCAATTTTAAATCTTAGTTCAGCAATAGACTCCCTGGGTGGCTTTGGGCAAGATGCTATCTCTCAAACCCCATCTGTAAAAACAGGAATAATAATGATCTTCTTCATAAGGCTGCTGTGAGGAAGGAGCAGATAAGGGCCATAAACCACATGGCATACTGAGAAAGTGCTTCATAAATGACTAATAATAGCAACATAATCCTATGTAAATATCACAAACGCTTATCTAAATTCTTGGTTATCTGAACCTTTTGGAAGTTCCTGAGACTACGAGCCTGTACATATTAATTTTCAGGGCTGTGTAACATTTCATTTTATGCTGGAATCCACATGAACGTTCAACGGATGGATGGCGGAGAACAAAAGATACTAAGGGCAGTGATGATGTCATCCAAGGGATGGCTGTCTAAGTTTGTGGTCCTTTCCATCATAAACATTCACAAGACTGTTATTTATGGAGAACCAAAGAACAGGCTAGCCCGATCCCATCAGATCTTGGAAGCTAAGCAGGGTCAGCCCTGATTAGAATTTAGATGGGAGACACTGAAGGAATTCCAGGGTCACCATGCAGAGGAAGAAAATGTCAAATCACCTCTGTTTGTCTTTTGCCTTGAAAACCCTGTGTTGTTGATGTTGTTAACCATTCAGTCTTGTCCGACTCTTGGTGATTCTATAGGCCAGCTCTCTCCACGTTTTCCGATCTTGTACTGTTTCTTTGAGTCGTTCCATGCTCAGGCTCGTGTTGAGTTTTATGGTGTCTATCCACTGTATTTTTGGGTGGCCCAGTTTTCTTTTGCTACTAACCCATCCAAGCATAATTGCTTTTTCTAGTGAGTTCTTCCACATGACATGGCCAAAATAAGTCAGTCGCAGTTTTATGATTTTCCTTCCAATGATATGTCTGGTTTTATGTGCTCCAATACTTGCTTGTTTGTCACCTTTGCTGTCCAAGTAATGCGCAGGAGCCTTCTCCAGCACCACAGCTCAAATGAGTAGATTTTCCTCTTGTCTTGCTTCTTCATGGTCCAACTTTTGCAGCCTTAGGGTCGACATAAGTTGGCCGGAACTTGCTGGCACTTTCCACCAAGAACTAGAGAACAGGAATGAGACGAAAGGAACTCAGATTTGATCGTTGTTGTGAATGCCTTGCCCCATCAATGCCAGGACCCAAGTCTGTGACAGTTCTCCAAGGATGTCGATCAAGGATTCAACCTGTGTGCCAACCACCCACCTCTGGGCAAGGTAAAGAAGCTGCAGAAAGATGCAGTTAAACCACTAAAGAAGTCTCTATGGTGGTGGTGAAAAGTGCTGTCAAGTCACAGCTGATTTATGGTGACCCTGAAGGATATTCAAGGCAGCAGGCATGCTTGCCTCTGCATAGCGACCATGGACTTCTTTGGTGATCTCCCATTCAAGTACTAACTAGGGCCATCCATGCTTAGCTTCCGAGATTTGATGAGATCCAGCAAGTCTCTATAGTCAAAAGAACAGAATGGGTCAAGTTCCAGCTTGCTGGTCTAAGGAACCAGATCACTTCTTTTCCCAGCTACTAACTACTACTCCCTTCATCCCATTTTCCCTTACTATGTCCCACCCTGAGCTTCACAAGAGCTGGCAAGACAAACTTCAGTTGTCATCATGAGAGCAGCCCTCCTGGTTTCATCTAATCCAGCATTAGATATTGGCTTCTTATCTCACTATGCATGCTAAATCACTCAGTTCTCACATCTGTTTGTAAACTCTTTTATTATCTGTATGCTAATTTGCTGCTATTTAACCACTTTAATCCAATCTTAGCTATACTTATCTCTCAGTTACTTATGCATCTTGACTCTAATGAGCCCTTCCTGGCAACTATACCTCCCCACCTATATATAATGGTTGGCTAAGTCTGTTTCATTGTTTCTTAAGAAGTGTGCATGCACACAAAAGCTTATGCCCATAATTAAGCTTTTTGGTCTTGAAGTTGCCATTGGACTCAAACTGTTGCTTCAAACCAACACAGCTACCCACCTGAATCTGTGTTTCAAGGAGAAACTCTGTGGGCCCACCATGTTCCTCATGACTCTCACAGACATGTTTATACCCAATATTCTAACACACCCCTCTCAAAGCCTCAGTTTTTAGATCTGGAATTCTACTGCAAGCTAGTTCCTCTTGCCGCTACCATGTTTTGTCTCTGGACAAGCAATAATGATATGTGCATGCACAAGGAACGCTTTGGCTTAAGTACCACACTCTCCAACCCAAAAGTGGCTAGGGATCATATTATAGCTATCAGTAAGGAGATGTCAAACTATATAGATTCCATCCTCAGCCCTTATGTTATCAGCTCCCCAAGTTAATTACAGAACACAACTGACTTCCTGAGGAAACCATAGTTTCAACCTTCCAGAAAACACCATCTTAGCACCCACAAATATTTGAGTGTCGATATACCAACATCCTCCATAAAGATGAACTGCAAGCCATCAAGGAACATTATCCCAAATAATGACAGAGCAAAATTTGGCTACCAACTTTGCTTATTTGTTCTCAATCACAACTACTTTGAATATAATAATAATTTATACCTTCAGATTAATGGCACATCCATTGGCACCTGCATGGCATCACAGTATGCCAACATTTTCATGGCTGAATTAGAGCAATACTTCTTCAGCTTCTGCCCATTCACACCTCTCTTGTATATGAGATTCACTGATGACATTTTCGTCATGTGGATGCATGGGGAGGGAGCTCTCAAGAGATTCCACCAGAACTTAAACTATTTTCACCCCCAAACCAATCTCAGCATGAACCCGTCACCACAACAGGTATATTTCCTGGATTCCACTGTGAAACTTTGTAATGGACACATAGTCACAACCTTATATCAAAAACCCACTGACTGCTAAACATACCTGCATGCTTCCAGCCACCACCCAAAACATATTCTCACACAGCAACCTCAGTTAATGCTCCCCAGCAGTGTAGGAAAAGCAAAAACTAACACTCACCTCGTGAACAGCTCTGTCCCGGCTCCTTCCTCAGCCCAGCTGACTCAATTCTCATATGAAGCAATCCACAGTCTACACACGAGCATTGTGTTACAATCTCATTTGCTCCGATTCCTCAGACAGGGACTCTCATCTGGAAGATTTACAAAAACATTGTTTGGATTACAGTAACCTCCCATTACAGTAAAAGATCATATCAATAAAGTGAGGATGGCTCACAGAGCCAGACTGGTATAAGACAAGACTCAAAAAAAAAAGTAACAGAACACCACTGGTTGCTACCTACACACACAACTTAAACCACTTCTACACATCATTAGTAACCTACAGCCTCTCCTGGACAAGGATACTTCTCTTTCACAGGCCTTGTGTAGGAAGCCTTTCCTTGCTTACAGACTTAACTTTAAAAAGGGTCTCACCTTTAACAATGGACCAGCCAACTGAGACACAGACCCAAGAACCAAACCCTGAAAAGACTCCGGTTCCATTTTTGTCAGATAATAGTAGTAATGGGACCTAATAAACTCAGCTACACCATTGTGGGCTCATCCACTTGCATATCATCCCATTTAATATAGAAGAAGAGGAGGAGATTGGATTTATTCCCCTCCCCACAACAAATACCGTGTGAGGTAGCTGGGGCTGAGAGAGCTCTGACAGAAACTGCTCTTTTTCAAGAACAGCTGTGCCAGAACTATGGCTTGCCCAAGGTCATCCAGTAGGTGGGAGTGGAGGAATAGGGAATCAAACCTGGTTCTCCCAGATTAGAGTCCGCGCACTTAACCACTACACCAAACTGGCCATATGCCATCATGCGCCCTTCTATCTATATTGGACAAATGTGTTCATTCCTATATAAGAGGAGCAATTAACATAAATCTGACATAAGCAACGGGTAGAGATTTGGGGTTGGGACGAATCGCTGCTGTCCCTGCTAGAAACAGTGCAAAATTATTTTATGAGGCGGATTTTGGTCTTACCCAAAGGTTCACCTGTGGCGTTGATGAGGGCTGAACTGGGTATGGTATCCCTGAAAGCCAGGGCAAATGTAAGAATCCTCTCATATTGGAGGAAATGTTTAGAACGACCTCAGGATATTCTAGGTGTTCAAAGTTTTGGTTTGCTGTTGAAATCCTCGAAAAGATCAGATGATTACTTGAACTCTATTTTATTGAAATACTCAATCCCCGATGACCTATTGGTAAACGAAAACCAAAGGGCTAAACTGAAGGAATGGGTATTTAATAAGGATGGGCTTTTGAATCGACATATGGTAGTAAGTTGCCGTACAGCCCCCTTGTATAAGATCTTCAAAAGAGACCATTGTAGGACTGTATATCTTGAGAAACTAACTACTGTATATTTCTGTTGTGCTTTGATTTACTTTGTGCTGTTATGGCCAATGGCTAAGACAATAAACGAAACTTGGACATAAGCAACGGTACCATTCATAAACCAGTGGAGATACATTTTAATCCTCCTAGAAATACTACTACAGATGTGAAAGTCACTGTTCTACACATACACACAAACCTTCAAAGGGAATATACATTGTAAAAGTGCTAAATTAGACCACATTAAGAAACTAAATGCTACTTCTCACCTTGGCTTAAACAGAGTCTTGGATTTCTTTACTCACTATCTATATATCTAATAGCGAAAGGCGCCCCCTGCGTGCGGATACCTAAATCCGTGCATCGGGGGCACCTGGGGGGGAGGGAGATTTTTGTGCACACTTGGGGCAGTCCCCAGGTGTGCACAAAAATCTAAAAACCTGAAAAAAATATTGGGGGGATACTTAAATCCCCCCAAAAGTGACAGAGCATCCCCTGCGCATGCGCGGGGACGCTCTGTGAACTCCCTCGCTGCCGCTGCCACTCGGGCCTCGCTTTGGAGGCAGCGGGGGGGCGGGAAGGACAGCAAGGCCCGAGCTGTTGCCACTCGGGCCTCGCTTTGGAGCCGGGGGGGCGGGGGGAAAGAGCCAGGGGAAAAGAGCAGCGAGGCCCGAGCGGCTTGCCGCTTGGGCCTTGCTTCGAAGTCGGGGGGGGAGGGAAGGGGGGGAGATCGAGCGGGTGTGTGTGGAGGAGACGGGGAGGAACCGGCGGGATGGGGGGAACCTACCTCCTCCTCCTGCTTCCTCCTCTGCCTCATGTGTGGAGGTCCCCCCCGCGAGTTAGCTCTGGGCGACGTACAATCAAAGTTAAAACATCAAATAGAACAAATTAAAATTAATAAATAACATTCATTGCATTTTTCTAACAGCTCAACAGAACCCACCTTTTAGAACTTCTGTCTCTTCTTAGCATGTCACAAAACTCTATAACCCTTTCTTGATGTCAGTTAATTTTCTGATGCTTCAGACCACTTCTGCCTCAATTAATTGCTGTTCATCCTACTTAATTAAACTTTTGTTTATCTGAACCTCATGAAAGAGGCTGGAACCTCTGACATCTTTCTTCATCCTTTATGTTTAACAACCTGATCCTTTCCAGCTCCTTGCACAGAGAATCACACCTGAAAGGTTATGACAAGACACACCAAGTTTCTGTCTGCCCCACTCCTCCCTTCACCCCTAACCCTTTGGTAATTCAGATTGGACCTAAGAAGGTAAATATTGTTCCATTTAGGTTTTCCCCCCCAATAGGCTACATTTTTTCTAAAATAATTAGGAGTCTTTTTAATTTGCAGTTGTATATTTATTTGTTTATTTGTATTTTTGCTTTATGAATTGCCCAATCCCTGTATGCACATCTGGACTGTGTTGCTGCCTTGTAGGTGGGGTAAAGAGGAGGCAGAAGTGGAAGAAAATGGGACAGCAAGTGAGGGTACCAGCCGTGATGGAAAACTGTTTGCTGCCCTCAGCCAAAAGCCCAGTGGAACATCTCTGTCCTACAGGCCCTGTGGAATTGCATAAAGTCCCACAGAGCCCTGGTGATGTTTGGCAGAGAGTTCCGCCAAGTCGGAGCCAAACTACAGACCTTTCAGTCTGCAGCTCAGCGTTTTGTTTTTTGTTTTTTAAATCCCCTGAGGGATATTTTTATTTTTGCAATACACTACAAACTCCAAACAAAGTATGAAGGAAGGGGACTACATCTAGGGACAAAGAAAAGATAACCACACTATACTAAAACCCCAAGAGGAGGAGCTCTTATCCCTGTTAGTGAAAGTGTTAGTAATATGTGTTAATAAAAACAATATACTTGTAGAGTTCTTGTTTGTCTCACCTTCAATGTTAACATGTTATTTTGTTATGAGAGAGCTTTCTGATCATCTTCTTATTCTTCGCTTCAAAAGGCAATTCTCAGAGTCCTGCCTTTACTTTGGTTTTCTGTCTCTAAAGTCATATACCACTCTGGCTGCCTCTGCTCCGGTTTCCACAGCACAGTCCTCCTCCGTTCCCGAGGTGGCAGAGTCACTTGATTTCGTTTTTTCCTCTTTGGAATCTTCCTCCGTTCCCAGCTGTTTCCTCAGATCCTCCTTCTCTGCCTCAGGAACTCCCTGGAATCTGAGAAACATGTTGGCTTTTTCCATCTGCAATTGTAACAAATGGCTTTCTTGTAGATTTTGCTTTGTTTCCACTTCTCCCATTCTTTTCTTCATTTTCTTCCTTGTGGTGTCCAACTCCTTAAGTTTCCCAGCTACCTGTTCCTCCACCTTCTCCGTTTCTTTCAGTTGGAGCTGCTGAGATGCAAAGTTTTTATTCATTACAGTCAGTTGCTGGTTAATACCATCGAGTTGCACCATCACTGGCTTGAGCATATCCGCTAGCATTTTCATGACGTCTGCTCCCTGTTCCGGTTTTGGGCTCCGGCTGCCAGGCGGTTTCGTTTTCAGCTTTCTTTGCACGGCAGCCATTTTTTACGATTTGTTTACAGTTTCTGACGCTTCCCTCTGACTCTAAAGATTGCTCCCATGCTGTCAGCAATCAAGTAAGCCTCTTAAAACACACTCGCTGTTTTTCCTCCCCCTTCGTCTTGCTTATCAGTCTCTTCGCATAGGAGGCAATCCTCTTTGCGATCCGCTTTCCCACGGGGGGGTGTAATTTGCTTTTTACAATCGTCCGCTTATTTTGAACTCACGTTCATTGTCGGTCAATTTTTCTGACCTTGCTTGCTTCAATGCTGTTCCGCTCGATCTCCAGTGCTTGTCCAGATCAAACCAGCTTGTGCCCGAAGGCCACGCAGCGGCCAAACCGTAAGTGTTGGAAAGCCTCAAATTCTCCGGCTTTACACCATCAAAGAGGCTACCCCTCAAAAGCCCTCTGGCCTGGAGCCTATCCCAAAGGCTCTGTGGGGGTGCTACTTGAGGTAGCACCCCTCCAACCCCTTGGTTGCTTCAATGCTGTTCCACTCGATCTCCAGTGCTTGTCCCGATCAAACCAGCTTGTGCCCGAAGGCCACGCAGCGGCCAAACCGTAAGGGTGGAGAAGAGGCTCAAATTCTCCGGCTTTACACCATCAAAGAGGCTACCCCTCAAAAGCCCTCTGGCCTGGAGCCCACTGGTGTGCGGATCATTCCCCCGTGGTCCTGGGAGAACGTCCGCTCGCTATCGCTGCTCCATAAACCGGAAGCCGGAGCCAGACATCTTTAGGGGTAGGGGTCACCAGTAAGTTGTTCTCAGGTTACTTGTTTTACATGTTTTTAGTGACATAGTATTATATGTTTTATATGACATAGTATTCACTATCTGATCAAGTGTTTGGAATGTATGTATAGATTTAAATTGTTTTTAATAGCTTATTTATGTTGTAATCCACTCTGAGCCCCACAGACGTGGGGGAGAGCAGAATAGAAATTGAATAAATAAATAAATTTTAGATCCATGGGCTAATGAAATATTTTATGCCTTGATGAGTTGCCCATGTTGTATCTCAAAATATTTCACACCACTTACTCCAGGGCTGAGCATCTCTGTGTGAGTAAGGCAGCTATCCCAGATCAATATATTTCAAAATATTTAAATTATTTTGTTCCTTAATAGACATATTACAAGGGGCGGACCCGCGATACTCACGGGGGGGAGGGACCTCCACATATGAGGCAGAGAAGGAAGCAGCAGGAGGAGGTAAGTTCCCCCACATCCCGCTGGTTCCTCCCTCGTCTCCTCCACCCCCCTCGTTTT